AAAAACAACAAAAATCATCTTCTCCATCTCTGCTCCTTCTCACTCCCCACTGTTCACTCTGCGTATTCACCTCATTTCTTAACATTAAACTCATGGCGGCTAACAGATTTGCCACCACTCTACAGAAAAACACCAACAAAATCACCCTCATTCTCGTCTACGCTGTCCTCGAGTGGATTTTGATCGTCCTCCTCCTCTTCAATTCTCTGTTTTCGTATCTGATAATCAGATTCGCCGACTATTTCGGCCTTAAACCTCCATGCCCCTGGTGTGCCAGGATCGATCGTATCTTTACTCATGAAAGGGGGGATAATTCTGTGTGTGCGTTTCACGCCGAGGAGATTTCCAGATTGGGTTACTGTGCGAGTCATCGCAAGCTAGTGGAATCCGGAAGTATGTGCGGGAATTGCTTGTCCGAAGAATTTCAGGTATTTTCGAACTATTTTTCTCGGTTTCAGAATGATGAAGGATTGATGGTAGGTGAGAGCTTGAGGTGTGCTTGTTGTGGGCTAGGTTTGGATAATACTTTATACTCCTCTTGTATGCTGCTCAAAACGTTTTCGTCGTGGGATGTTTACGAATGTGTTGGGAAAGAAAATCTGATTACTAAGGCTCGGGGTATATATGATTGTGATTATTCTGCGAATTCTGATGCTGAATTATGTGCCGGTGAAAAGATCTCTCAGTTGGATCAAAATGCGGAAGTAACGGGAATTGGAGGTGAAGAGAACTGTTTTCAATGGGTACCTGTTGATGAGATGAAAGAGTTGGAAGCTGGAGAAGATGAAAAGGAGAATGAGGTTTTAGAAATGGATGTTGGGGTACAAGTTGAAAATGACCACGGAAAACCAAATTCTGTCATGGAAGATAAATCTGTCCAAGCTTACATTAAAGAAGATTCATCTCAAGATATTTCCACTCATCATCTAGAATTCTTTCTGGATTACACTGGTTGTAAATTGGTTCCTGTTGAATTAATCGATTCGGTAACGGAGGACAGTGAAATGATTCGTAATGTTCAAACTGAAGCTCGTGAACTTGTTAAGGATGGATATGACTCCAAGGATTGTGAAGTTGAGGTTGGAGAAAATGCCGACGACTTGAATTTAGTTCTTGATGTAGATTTAAACTTGGAAACTGAATGCACGATGCTTGAATCCATGGAGATGGAAGAGGAAATGAATTCTTTTGTTTTTCATGCGAAAGACTCTAGATTGATGATGTGCGAGTTCCAAAAATCCAATAATTTTCCACCAGACAATTTTGTTTCAGAAGATGTCAAAGAAGTTCAAGAAATGGATGGTTCAGCAGGAGAAATGCATTATGATATCTATCCAGGTAGTTGTTATATATGTATATTATGTCCTTTTCGTGTCAAAATTTTGAAGCTATGTCATCCAAAATTACATTAATCCACTTCCAATAAAATTAAAGCACCAACGAAAAGGCAAAAGTAGCTCAAATGGAAAACAATGCAGAAGCGAAGCTGATGTAATTAAAAATACAAAATCAAGAATCAGTTCAGTGTAATTTTAATTTATAGTTAGTTCCACTTTTGCTCTTCAATGTTAGAAATCTGAATTGCTTTTCCTGTATTGGCCCAGTGCGAAAAACCGAGGAGTCTTGTGAACAAACAACAAAGGAAGCTGTTGCTATCGAACAATTGAAATCAGCAATCAGAGACGAAAGAGAGACATTGGAGGCTTTATATGTGGAGTTAGCAGAAGAAAGAAGTGCTTCTGAGGTAGCGGCCGATCAAGCAATGGCAATGATAAACAGGCTGCAGGAAGAGAAGGCGGCAATCCAGATGGAAGCCTTTCAATATCAGAGGATGTTGGAGGAACAATCTGAGTATGACCAAGAAGCTTTGGAGCTGTTGAACAATCTTATTGTGAGGAGAGAGAAAGAAAAGCAGGAATTGGAGATCGAGTTGAAAGCGTGTAAACAAAAGGTTTTGGATTATGAAACAAAAGAGAAGATGAGGGTATTGAGAAAATGCAATGGAAGTACTATAAATGGAGTTTCCTCTGGTTTTTGTAGTAATGCCGAGGACTGTGACAGGTGCGTGAGTTCTGAACTACATTTAGATAATTTTGAAAATGAGAGATTGTCCATTATCGAGCAGCTTCAGGTTTTAGAAGAAAAGCTCTTGACACTAGATGATAATAGCGAAAAACAGTTTATTGGCGACGAGAATGCGTATTTCAATAGGCATCACAAAAATATAAGAACCGGAGGTTGGAAAGAGAAGTTCCCAACGGTAAATACGAAGCTTGGGATTGAAGAAGAAATTTATCTTGTTCATGAAAGGTTAGATGGGCTTGAGGCAGATAGAGAGTTCTTTAAGCATTGTGTAAACTCACTGAGGAAAGGTGAAAAGGGCATGGAACTTCTTCAAGAAATCGTGCAACATCTGCGTGATCTCCAGCATACGGAGCTTTATGTGAGAAATTATATGAAGATTTGTGATCCATTGTAAATGTATATGGCAAAAAGAAGTAATATTGGTTATCTTCTTAATATGAGCATGCACTATATATGTTTTTGGTTCGGTTTGAATTCCAGGCTTCAAGATTGGATGTTGTAGATAGGCTTGGTCTTGTAGTTTTGTATATTTTGTGAGTAAAAGGTTTTTGATCATATAATTCTATTTCACACATATAGGAGTCCCTTTCTTCTTTGTTCAAGTTGCTGGTTATTAGAATTTCTCATCTTGTTTATTTGATCAAGTTGCATAATAGATAATCCGCTGTTTGTATTTAGTATCTTTCTCTGTTACTATTCTTGAGCCAAATATCATTCTTTAACTTGTGTGTTCGTACAGTGACTTATTCAGTTCTATATTTATTTACTTTATGAAAAAAAAAAAAAAAAATGCAAAAGATTGCTTTCATCATAAACAACATTTTCTAGTCAGTTTCATTGAGAAAGAATCATTTGTTCGAGTGCTCATTTATAAATCAATTAATACAAATGAATTTGTTAACGGCTTAACGCGGTTTGTGGCATGATTGCAGTTCTGAGCATGTTTGTTTATAAGATTTTTCAAACAAATTCTCATATTTTAACTCAACCACTTTTTTTAACTCAATTTTAACTTAACCACAATATTTTAATATTATCAATATAGTTAAATAATATCAATCATTTATACACACCACATAACTCTTAATTCTCTATTCATCCACTCACATTATTTTAACTAACCATCACATCACATCTTCTCTTTCCTACTTTTACATCAAACCAATTTTAATTATTTTATTTTAAATATTATTTTAATATATCCACTAAGAGCACCCACAATGCTTTGAGTTTCTTAGAAAAAAGTTACATGCCATGTAAGAAATAGACTTAGTCTATAAAAAAGTGTTCTCCAATGCAATTAAAAGTGGACCTAGTCTAGCTTATGTGGCAATAAAAAAATGAGACCTAGTCCACACTTGGGTCTATTTTAGACCCAAGTACAAACCCAAGCACTCATCATTTATTCCTCATTTAATTTTTCTTTTAATAAATGAAATATACTAGAGCATTTTTATTGGTTGTCATGTATTCTAGACCTAGTACTTTTTGGTTTTGCATTGGATAGATTTTGGTTTTTTTAGTTTAGGTTTGTCCATGTCATTATAGACTTAAGTCTATTTATTTGTCACATATACAAAAAGAGACCCAAAGCATTGTGGATGCTCTAACAACTAACTATACCATTTTTTCAAAATTAACTAAACCAAACCAAAAAATGTAAACAAATCCAAAAATTTTCATAAACAAACATGCTTAGTTGATCTATATCCACTTGTGGTCGTTCCAAGATTATTGAAAATTTTCAACTGAACATAGTTTCATTCACGGTACAAGTTTTGAATAAATAAATATTTTTTTTTTTTGGAATTTTATACCTTAAAAAATAATGTAAAATATATACCTTAAAAAATAATGTACACCATCCAAGCAACTTTTTGCATTAAATAGTATAACATCTACTGATTTTATGCTTTTGTTCAAAAATAAAACAAGTCAAAATGAGTCATTTTAATTAAAGTTAAAGTGCATGTGCAATGCAGGTGGTGAGATGATGTGGATAAGCAGTTGCACTATCGTGTGCCTTGGCACACCTTGCTAGGTGTGCCAGGCCCGATTTGCACGCGCCCCTCAGGTAAACCCAAAGTGTTGAAATTGCTTTTTACTGAACGTGAATTTCACGCGCCCTGTCAAATCCCATCATTTCACATTTTTTTTTTACTCAATTTTGCCGGAATCGTGCCTCGAGATTCCAACTGCTTCTTCCCCAACTGCAACTGCAACTCCTCTTCATTCTCTCCATTTTTTCTCTGAACTTTCTCTGTTTCACGATCAAAAATTCCCGGAGAAGACAATTTTAACTGAAAAACGCTCAATTTCCGACGGTCCCTACGTCATAGGTAAGATTTCTTTGCTTTTCATGTCGATTAAATTTCAATTTCATAGATTTTAAATGTTAAACTTAGAAATGAAAAACCCTACTTCATGGCAGATGGAAAAAGAGACATTGCAGAATATGTTGGTATGTATTTTTTGCCTTGGTTTGAAGTTTAACTCCGATTAGAGATTCAATTCACTTTGCCAAAACCCTATTTTCAATTTCAAATTTCTGTGCCTAGGGTTTAAAGTAGTCATTGCAGAAGATTGTATAATGTCTTAATTTTTTGCCACACAGGATAAAATTAAAGCCCGTAGGAAAAAGAGTTCGAAACAACGGCCAAAAAATGTTGGTGAACGGTATGTCCGCCTTGTTCATCTTCATTCGTATATTGGTTCATTTGAACACGTTCAATTTTCTTTTAAACATATTCATTTGTTTATTATACATGTTCATTTCGTTGT